CAGACAGACAGACAGACGTGGAGGAACTATGAGTCTAGGGGCTCACAGTATCTCCAGACAAGGAACAGAGGCATCACCTGAGAACTTGTTAAAAATGCAAGAACCCCAGCCCAGCCTTACTGACGCAGAACCCGCATGTAACAGGCTCTCTGGGAGATCTGTGTGCACAGGTTGAGTTTGAGAAGCTCTGGGTCAGGATCAGGCTACAAGTTAGGAAGCGTAAAGTTGGTGCCCTCCAGGTAAGCAAGGACCCGGCCCCCGAGGGCCCTGAATGTCATGCTGGGGGTGATGGAGCAGCAGACTAAGCAGGAAAAGGACTCTATCAGATCAGCGTTGTTAGCAGCTGACTGTGACCAGGGAAGGGGGTTGGCAAGGAGGGTGAGGGCAGACAGAAGCCAAAAGACCAGACTACCCACAACTGCAGTGGACCCAGAGAGACCTGAGAAGGGCTTGACCTGAAGCAAAAGCAGAGGGAGGGGGCCTGGGCTGGAGGGGTGTTTAAGGAAGTAAACCTGGCAGAATTTGGTGAGGGTCAGGAATGGGGAAAAGGAAAAAAGGAGGAATCAGAGAGATCTTGGATTTCTGGCCCAGAAAACTAGGCCAACGGTGGCTGCCTTTGCCAAGGCTGAGAAATCAAGGAGAAGGCAAGGCTTATTCTGTAGCTGTTGTCTTCAGGAACATCCTGGTCAGGCCAGGAAGATGCCAGGAAGCACCTGGTTACCCAGGTCTGCTGCTCAGCAGAGAGCTCCTGGCTACCAGGAGGAAGCCACGGGTCTGCAGGGAGTAAGAGGTGACTGAAACCACAAGAGTGTCTTCCCTGAGAGAGTGGACGGAGTAACGAGAGAGATGGTGCAAGAACAGTTGAGGAAGGAAGGGAAAGACAACTACAGAGAAAGGTTCCAAGAAGTAGGAGCCACTCCAGGAGCCAAGAGAGGCCTTTGGAAATGGGTGGGTAAGCTCCTACTGCACTTCCAAGTGCGTAAGGATTAGAGCCCTCCATTATAGGTATTGGCTCCAATGATGGCTTCTTAGCTTTGGAACCGAGTTCAGCCATAGCATTTCCCAAACTCTTCAGTTGCTAAGAATGGCCAGGGCGGTCTTTTATAAAACACACCCCCCTGGGGCCTGTCCTGACTCAGAGCATGTCTCTCCAATGAAGGGGCCGCAAAGCTGGTTTTTTAACAAGCTCTACAGGTGATTCTCATCATATGTTTGGGCCACTGTCTCATAGCCTTGCTTCTCAAACTTTAAGATTCTCCAGAAATACCTGGGGACCTCAATAAACCACCGGTTATGATTCGGTAGGTTTGAATGGGCAGCAAGTCTGCATTTCTAGGCAGCTTCCAGGCGACAGCCACACTTCTGTGGTCTCAGGACCACCCTGGCAGGAACAGGGCTAGAGAGAACACCTGTCTCATTTTGCAGGCAAGGAAACAGGTTCTGAGGCGGCAAGCCGTCAATCCAAGGTGACCCAGCTCAGTGAGTGCCAGAGCGGAGAGAGATGTCCTGCCTGAGGGTGGGTCTCTGGATCGTGACTCCATCAGGCGCCCATATTCTGCCTCCAACAAGGATGGCAGATTGAGTGTGAGGTTAGCAAACAAATCATTAACTTCACTTGGACCCCCCCTCCTGTCCACCTGCTTCTTCCTGCTTGCTCCCTCTCACTGCCCGTGAGCCCACCAGGATGTCTCTGCTCCTTTCCCTTTTCCCCCCAAGCCTCCCCTCTGCAACAGAAAGGCCAGATTAGGGCATGACCACAACCTCCCAACCGGGGTGGGCAGCTGGAAGAGCAGGGGAGAGAGGCTTACCTAAGTGAGACCCCGCGGACCACCATATGTTGCTGCCAGAACAGCTAATTAGACTGGCTGTGGGAGAGGAGAAGGGCCTGTGAGCTTCCACATGGGAACTTAGTGGGGAAGAACCTTCCTGCATCTGTTGGGGACGCCGGAGACCACTGGCCGGAAAGGGGGGTGATGGTGATGTCACTGCCCTGCTTAACTCTTCAGCGACTCTGAGACCCAAGCCAGGCACCTCCCAGGCAGGAGCCGGGCACTCGGAGATGCCATCCAGCCCTCAAGAATGATTTTTTGAGTTTTGATTCATTCATTGTCCTCCCACCCGGGCGAGTGCTCCCTCCTGACTGCTTTTTTCTTTTGTGCAGGTGACAGCAGCGAGCACCCGCTGTTCTGTGTCGAATATTCCCCTTTCTGCTCCGTCTTTGCTTTCTCCCCTGTCCTGCAGCCCAATACCAGTTACTGCTGCCTCCTCCTGCCGCTAGTGCCACCTGCCTCCCCAGCGGCGGGCCAGGACTCCCCACTACACCTCCCTCCAGCCCCCTTCCCCCGCTTCCTGAGCCCTTCTCCTTCCTCCCCGGGCCCCGTGCCCGAGTCTCCAGCCACACTGTGCTACTTCCCCATCTCCAGCCCCAGGCCCATCGAGACCCCTGTGCTATGCCTGCCCGGCCCCCGACAGCCCAGTAAAATCTACCTCGTGTGGTAAGTGGCCCTCGGCAGGGCAGGGCGCACAGCACAGTGGAGCCGAAGAGCTTCCGGAGGGCAGGTGGACAAGAGGGGGGCCCACGGCAGGCCGGTGTGGTGCGTTGGGGAAGACCAGACAGCTGCAGCCACTTCACTCAGCCTTCTCCTAGCACTTAAAGGAGTGAGCGACCAATAAAATCCCATCCTCCCTCTCTCAGTCTCCCAGTCTCTCTCTCTCTCTCTCTCGACTCATTTGATTTCTTCACGCCTGTGTCTGGCACAGTTTGGATCATAACCACCAGAAACCCAGCGGGCCCTTCCGTGTCTGATCGTAGTCCTAGAGGCATGGCCATGCACGCAGAGCCGGCCCCGAGAGGGAGGCATCAGAGACGGGGCTGGGTGGGGGACGTCCACACTGGATGTGAGAGCCCGCTCAGGACCGCACCGGGGAGGGACAAGTGAAAGGGCTCAGTCACTGTTTATGTTTTCTTTCCTGACTACTTATTAGGCCCTACATCTCTCCAAATCAAAAAAATCCCACCTCCTGGGTTCCTAAATAAAACACATTTATGGTCCATAATTAAGCTTTCATTAAGATCTCCTCTGGGGATGTGAGACAACACACATTTCCCAGCATACTCAGACCAGCAAACAGACACAGCCTATTATTTGTGACTGTACAGAAGGCTGCCTATTCCACCAGGGCAACATCAGCTCTTGCAGTTAAGCTGTAATTCTGCCCATGATCCAAAAGAAGCAATAAAACCTTTTCAGAAGGCATCTCTCAGGCACAATCCTAGGCACTGGGCAATGAAGTGGAGATGGTGTGGGGGAGGGGTACAGGTTCAGGAATTGTATTTCTCTCTCCACCTTCCTTTTCAACTTTGTCTATCCAGAGCTGTGTCTGTGTATACAGTGATGTGAGGAAGTAAAGGATGATCAGGTGCATGGAATTAACATGGGCCACTAAATGGACTCGGTTCTCAGTTGTCCGGGGCCTTGCGGTGGGCGGGGGTGGGGGGGTTGTTTTTTGTAGGTCTTTTCCTTCTCTTGTGTTTCCTGCCTAGAGAAGTTTCTTCAGCATTTGTTGTAAAGTTGACTTGAAGGTGCTGAATTCTCTTAACTTTTAAAAGCTCTTGATTTTTCCATCAAATCTGAATAAGCCCCTCACTGGGTAGAGTATTCTTGGTTGTAGTCTCTTCTGTTTCATTGCTTTAAATATATCATGCCATTCCCTTCTAGCTTACAGAGTTTCTGCTGAGAAATCAGCTGTTAACCTTCTGGGTTAACCCTTGTATGTCATTTATCATTTTCCCTTGTTACTTTCTTTTTTTTTTTCTCCCCTTGTTACTTTTAACATCTTATCTTTATCTTTAGTTTTTGTCAGTTTGATTAGTATATGTTTCAGCGTGTTCCTGCTTCAGTTTACCCTGCCTGGGACTCTCTGAGTTTCCTGGACTTGGTTGAAGTTCTATTTTCTTTTTCATGTTAGGGAAGTTTTCAGCTATTATATCTTCAAATATTTTCTCAGGTCCTCTCTCTCTTGTCCTTCTAGGGCCCCTATAATGAAAATGTTGGTATTTTTAATGTTATCCCAGAGGTCTCTTAGGTTGTCTTCATTTTTTTTTTTCTTTATTCTGTTCTGCAGCACTGACTTCCACCATTCTGTCTTTCCCTCAGTTATCCTGCTATTGATTCCTTCTAGTGTATCGTTCATCTGTTTGTTTCTTCTTTAGTTCTTCCAGGTATTTATTAAATGTTTCTTGCATCTTCTCAATATTTGACTCCATTATTTTCCCTCAAGATCCCAGATCTTCTTCACTATCATTGTTCTGAATTCTTTTTCTGGAAGGTTGCCTATCTCCACTTTATTGTTTTTCTGGGGTTTTGTCTTGTTCCTTCATCTGGGACATAATCTTCTGCCTTTCCATTTCTGTGATTTTCATTCTGGAGGCTGCAGGATTATAGTTCTTCTTACTTCTGGTAGATGAGGCTATCTAAGAGGCTTGGGCAAACTTCCTGTTGTGAGGACCTGGTGGTGTGTAAAGCTGAGTCTTGCTCTGCAGGGCAGGGCTGTGCTCAGTAGAACTTTTATCTGTTTGTCTGGTGGGTCTGTGTTCCCTCCCTGTTAGTTTTTTGATCTGAGGCAACCCATCCCTGGAATCTGCAGGTTATATGGTAGAGCTAATGGTGATCTCCAGGGTGGCTCATGCCAAAGGGTACTTCCTATGACTGCTGTGGCCAGTGCCTTTGTCCCTGTGGTGAGCCACTGCCTACCCATGCCTCTGCAGAAAACCCTACAACATTAGCAGGTAGGTATGGTTCAGTCTCCTGTGGGGTCATACTGCTGCTTCTCTGAGTCCTAGTGTACACAAAATTTTGTGTGTGTCTTCCAAGAGTGGAGACTGTTTCCCCTGGTCCTGTGTAAGTCCTGCAATCAAATCCTGCTAACTTTTACAGAGAGATTCCCTGGGGATTCCTAGTCCCTTTGCCAGATCCCCAGGCTGGAAAGCCTGACATGGGGCTCAGAACCTTCACAACGGTGGGAGAACTTCTGTGATACAAGTGTTCATCAGTTCTTGGGTTGCCCATCCAGTGGGTTTGGCACTTGATTTTATCATGATTGCGCCCCTCCTACCATCTCATTGTGGCTTCTCCTTTGACTTTGGACGTGGTGTATCTTCTTTTGGTGTGTTCCAGCATCTCCCGGTCAGTGGTTGTTCAATAGTTAGTTGTGATTTCAGTGCTTTCACAGGAGGAAGTGAGTGCACACCCTTCTTCTCCACTATCTTGAACTAATCTCCAGTCATCAGGGTCTTGTATAAATATAAGATTTCTACTTTTTTTTCCCCTCTGCTGGTAAAATTAAGAACTATTCAGTCAACAGTTGGTGTCCCAGCAATGTCAAGACAATTGAGGCAGACACCTTCTATGTAAACAGCTGTTTGATTTCTTTGCTACTGGAGGCATCCCTTTGCCCAGATCTAGAAGGAATGGGTTTCATGGTGCCCAAAGCAAGCCACAGTCTTCCCAAAATTCACTGACAAACTTCAGGTTGATAGGTTGCCTGGCAACAAAACTTCTGAACTCAACTTGCTCCATCCTCTGTAAGACAAAGGCTTTGTCTTACTACCTGGAGAGGAAGTTATATTTCACCTTTTAGTGTCAGTATAATTTAGTCTTCCTAAAAATTAATATATGTAGCATGCTACCATGAAGATCATCTTAGAAAGACCCCCATGGCCTGAGGTTCTGTTTGCTTTGGATGTGAGTAAGGTGATCAGGAACTGGAATTCATGTATTGATACATACAAACCAGGCACTTCGTGTGCTGCTAGCCTGTCCAACTCTTTGTGATCCCATGGACTGTAGCCTGCCAGGCTCCTCTGTCCATGGAATTTTCCAGGCAAGAATACTGGAGTGGGTAGCCAGTCCCTTCTCCAGGGATCTTCCCAGTCTGCAGATTTAACCTGGATCTCCTGCACTGCAGGCAGCTTAGGTCCCTTCATTTGTAACTGCAGATGCAGATGGAAAAGAAGGAATATTTCATAAGACTTTGCTTTCCATAGAACCTAAAAGTGTATCACAGGGAAGAAGTCAGTGGTGCAGCCAAGTTAGATTATAACCTTTAGGCCAAAATGTCTTACTCATCTTTGTGAGCCCTTGGATCATTACACAGAAAAGGCATTTGCTGAACAAATTACAATAAAAAGAGTTGTTATTTGTCTTTTGGATTTTATAATAGGATTAAAGAAGAGAGCAAGAATTACACAGGAATAAAGGCTGCTGAATAAGTTATTCTGAACCTATAAAGCCTGCATAATAAAACATTTCTGGTCAAATTCAGTTCTCTCAGGGGAGTGACATCAGATTTCCAATTATTATTGGTAGTGTTATTATCGCTGTTTATGGTAGAAGCACCAGTTACTGTTTTTAGCAACTAATAAGCACCAGACACTGAGTTAGACCATCTACCTACATTATTGCTAAACTTCACAATAACGAAATGAGAACATTCCCATTTTACAGTTGTAGATACTGAGGTTCAAACTCCCCAAAGTCAGAGGACTCTGGCTTCACTACCAGCAGTGTTTTTTTCACTGCCAGACCCGGTCAAACCATCTCTAGTTTTTTTTCCATTTCATTACTTTAGTTTGCTGAGAACTCAATTAGAGGAGACATGGTTACGGAAATCATTTTGGAAATCACTTAAGAGATCCGATGCCTTGAAGAAAGTACTTTTTTGAACAGGAAAATAGGCTAACCTGTTATCTTGGGTTATCTGGGGTGTTCAGCACAAGGAAAAAAGAAATGGTGCTACTTTTGGAATTCCACATAGTTTTCAGCTGAATGCACCTTCTCCAGCCCTATTATAAAACATACTAGGTGGTGGTGGTTTGTCCTGCCACCAGAGAGTTTGAGAAAACACACAGGCTGGCTAAGACAGGGTCCTCATCCTTAACGAGTTTACAGTCTAGTTGGAGAGAAAAGACACAATCCTCAGGCAATCTTGGAATATTTAAATACTAAAAGCCCTAAGGACCCTGAAAGTTCTGGCCAAAGCAGACTTGTAAAACAGGAAACAGACCTCCAGGGACCTGCTGGCTGGAGCAAGCTAGTGCTGGCTGGAGGAAAAAGGCCCTCGGGAGGCAGGGGGTGTAGGGGTGTGGATGGGGTGGGGGAGGAGGAGGGCTGCTGCCTGGAGTGTGAAGGAAGTCTGAATATTCGGCTGGAAATCAAAGTAAAATCCTCATGGAAAGGACCTTTGAGCCAGGTCCTGAATATCCACTGGACTTGGCCTGCACCCCAAGCCTGCCCCTTCCCTGGTCCTCCTGTTTCCTCTTCAGTAAAGAATGATCCTGCTGTTTCCCCGCCCTGCTGCACCCATCTGTCAGGTGCTAAGCAGGGGGCAGTTGATGACCTCTGAGAGCTGCAGAGGAATAAGGCCTCAAGTGATTGGGAGAAGCCTATGCGTCGGAGGAATGCAGCTCCTGGGGGGGGNGATCCCCTACTGTTAAGCCCTCCATCCCTCTCTCTCACCCTCCTCTCTCCCAACTCAGTCAGTGAGATCCTGTCTAATCACCATCCTACACCCTCCAAAGAATGTATTCTCATTTTCTGGAGAATTCTCTTTCTGGTCATGCCCACAACCTCTCTGGGCTCCACTGACGTACCCTAAGCTGGAACCCACGCCACCGGCAGCTCCCCCTTCTAGCAAGTTCCCCGATGAGGGCCTGTCAGGGAAAGTAGGTTGTAGCTAATCATTGTTTTAAACCAGGCTTCAAGGGCAGCCAAGGAGAACTTCCATTCCTTTCCTCAATCTGATTTTAAAAGATCCACATAACCACAACTTACACTGTGGGACATAAATCGAGTTGTCTTCACATGCCAAGGAAGTCTGTTCTCTTGCATACAACTCAGAGACCCTTCCCAGCTTTACCCCCTTCCCCCTTGGCTGCTGGCTATTTGTGAAAGTTCTGAACTGTCCAAGAGGAGATGAGCCAGGCAAATTCTCCTGGAAGCATTTCATCTAGAAATTCACAATCTAACTGCCTGTGAACTTGAGAACTTGTAGAGATGCTTGGAAAACAACAAAACCCTTTTCCCAAGCTCACATGCACTGAGACTTAATACATGTGAAGAGGAAACTTGAGATTATTCATACCAATTAGCAACCTAATTCAAAATGTGACTTTTAAAAAATATATTACCGGTAACTCAATTCAACTTGGCACTTCAGTTTACTGTCTTCCTGGGAATGTATCAACCCCACCCAGTGGTGGGTAACACACAAGCAAAAAAAAAAGGTCCCCAGATGCTTGGAATCTTTCTGGAATGCCATATTAGTTGCTAATAAACAACCTGAGGATATGAATGTGTAGGTGCAAAACAGACTGTGATTCACATTTGGATAAGGACATGGGGAGCCGGGCTTTGTGTGTCCCAAAGGTAAAGGCTCTTGATGGTTTTACCAGCAAGCCCATCCCAATATCTATGAACTGGAAGCTAGAAATTTCTTAGCAAAAGGAAGGACCCCCTTCAGACTCCACATGGCAGGTGTCAGGGGGTGCTCATGAACGGTGATCGCAGCCTTTTGAAGTAGATATTATTATTCCCATGTCACAGGTGGGGAAAACTGAGGCTCCCGGAAGTGATCTGTCCAAGCCCATGTGGTTACAAGGTCATCGAACCAGGGTTCAAGTCCAGCTTCTCCTCGCCTCCTGTTTTTTGTTTTTTTGGGTTTTTTTATTCCCTTAACCACCTTCCCCCACCACAGGCCCTCTGAACAGTCTTTCCATGAAGATGTTTTCCTATAAAAAATTATTGAAAAGATTTTGCACTTTTCAGCAGCCCAGGCACCACAGATTTTATCAAGGAAGAGGAGGCCAAACCTGGGGAGACTGACAGTCAGCTCAGAGATGCAGAGCCCACGATTGTCTGGGGACAGAAGCAGACAGAATCTGCAGCGGCCTGGGAAGGTACCTGCCCTCAGGGGAATAGGTAAGGATGCTCATACATCTCTGACCTCAGAGACTGATTTGAGCTGTTACATGGTGAATTCCATGTGCTTTTTATGTGAAGAGAGTGTACCTTACAATGAAACACTTAAAAGGTTTTAAAAACAAACTATTGGATCCAGTTTCCTTCTCCAAGGGAGGCTGGTAGGAAAAGGCAGGGTGGGGAGAGTTTTTATTTTCTCTGCCATTACTCCATAAGCGAGACCATGACAGGTTTTGAGTGGATGCCCGCCGTTAGGCTTCTGGAGAGGGTATTTTGGTGGTGGGTGTTAGGTATGGGGGTGGGTGGGGGAGGGGAAGGATAGAGAAGCAGTTTCCAGCTCTGAGGATGTCTCATCCCGCCGCAGTTCCCCACCCGCCTCCCAGGAGGGGAGGATAGAGGTCTGTGGATGGCAGACAGTTCACCTCCCCCAGAGATTTTCTCCCTTCTGATCCAAGGTGTCAAGATCTTAACATGTAAGAAATAACATAGAGGTGGATATAGGCTTTATTTCAAAACACTGGTTTGGCCGACACCTCCTCTTTTGGTCCTGAGCATCTATTCCCAAGGCCCAGGCCACGCTGTTCTGCTAATCACACTGTCCTCTCCTGCGGTGGCAAAGGAAAGGAGGAATAGGTCCCAAGGAGCTCCCTTGGGAGTCAAGGAAGGGGACACTTGACAGCCCACCTTGCCAGCCAAGCACCTGTTTCATTCCCTTGGGGGAGCCACTGAGCATCACATTTCCTCACCACCCACTGAACGCAGGAGCCTTTACTTTAAAGGTTGATGTGTACTGTGGTGGACACAAGTAAATATAGAACATATACTCGGATGGTTTGAAGTTAGGGGCGATTAGAGCACATGTGACTCTGTAACAACTCAATGTCCACAGGCCCCCAGTGATCTAATGCCTCCTGGCAGGAAGGGCGGACCTCACTTCTAATTCCAGCCCTCCTTCCTCCCAGCAGTGCAGCCTGGGGTGGTCAAGAAGCCAGTCTGGGTTACAATGCCCATGTTTTAAAATAAGGATAATGAAAAAAATAAAATAAAAAATAAAATAAGGATAATGAAATCTACCTCATTGCCTTGCTAGAATAACGAAAGCAAGTGCTATTCTCAGCAGCACTTGAATATAGCGGGCACTCAACTACGCTAGTTTCTCCTGCCATCTCCCCAACAGTCCTCAGTAAACTCTAAACTGCTGTTTGGAAGGTGAGGTTCCCCATGCATCAAACATTCCTTGACCCACCAGGCTCATCTAATCCTCCACGTGTGCCCAGAAGATATCTTCCATTATCCGGAGATTCACTGAGAATTTGTCCTGATCTTCTATTATACCCCTGACTCCTTATCTTGCCTCTAATCCTTTTTTTTCCACATTCCAAAGTAGTTTGCAAAATAAATAAATAAATAAATATAATAAAATCATTTGCATAAGTTGGAGTAGGAGCCAGATGTTTGAATTGTGTCAGCAAGAGATCCAAAGCAAACGTGACAGAGAGCTAATATATTGCAAGCACTTACAAATCAATAAGGAAAACATGAATACCTAATAGAAAAACTGGGGAAGAGACACTGCAGACAGTTTCACAGAAGAAATAATACAGGTGGTTAATAAAATCTGGGGTGGGGGGTGGCGGGTAAAAAGTTCAAGCTCACTCAGTAGTAAATGTAAATTTACAAGAGATAAATTTGGCCTACCAAATTGGCTAAGGTCTTTTTCTAGAATAACGCTCAACGACTTGCCTGGTGGTTCAGTGGTGAAAAATTCCCCTGCCGATGCGGAAGACATGGGTTTGATCCCTGATCCAGGAGGATCCCACAGGCTGCAACTGAGCCCGTGCCTTGAAGTCGCTCAGTCATGTCTGACTCTTAGCGACCCCATGGACTGCAGCCTACCAGGCTCCTCTGTCCATGGGATTTTCCAGGTGAGAGTACTGGAGTGGGGTGCCATTGCCTTCTCTGATAGTGAAACTACTGACTAAGATTTCCCAGGTACAGATATTCAGGTGCTGTGCCAAGCCCACAGCATACATTCCCAGTAACCACCACAGTTAGGAGAGATGCTTTCATATCCTACCTGGAGGGTCACTTGGTCCAAACTGGAATTTGGCAACCTGTGTCCTAGTCTTTAGAGAGCTTGCAATTCCACTCCTATGAATCTGTTCTAAGAAAATAAGACCTGCAGTCAAGGAGGTATGAGAGAGGATGTCTATCATGGTGTGATCTGTGGCAGCAAAAATCTGGAAACAATCTATATACCCAACAGGGGAAGGGTTTGTATAATGTACCCTTAGAGTAGAATCATTATCATGTTCTTAAAGAATAATTAATGGCAGGAGATAATGCTCACATAAAAATGTTTAGGGAAAGAAAGCAGGACAGAAAATTGTATATACCCAATACCCAATTTTGTTTTTAAAAACAGTATTTCTAGATAAGTAAGCCCTAGGTTGTAAATTCAAATGTCTTCAGGGGACAGGTGGGTAGGACAGGAGAAGTACCTAACAAGGGCTAGGATGCTTGCAGTCAACCAGATGCACTCCACCTGAAGGCAAGTAACTCATTGTTCAAATAGACAACTGCAAAATAAAAATAGCCCGGGGTCTTGAGTTTGCAACCCACCTCTGAATTCCAGAACAGTAGTGATGTTCCTCTGAGTTTCAGATATTTGGTGATTTTTACTTCTTCTTTATCCTCCTGTGTCTCTCCCAAGTTTTCTACAATAAACATCAACTACTTTTATTAATTGGAGGAAAACAGTTAAAAGTTTATGGCTGTCAAAACAAATGAAACTGTTGGTCAAGCACATGTAGAAGTCTAGAACAAAGCCACAGCCTTCGGCAGAGAGGTGCTTTTTCTGGTTTCATCTCATTGCACCTACAACATTCAGTCGCACCTAGCTGGGCTCCTGGAAACAGCAGGCACTCTGCTCACAGCTGGAGCCCCTGCAGGGCCTCAGAAGCATCTGCAAGGCCTGATCTGAGAAAAATACATCCCTGGACATACGCAGTTGAGGGGTCATCCCAGGCCGGGAGCTATGAAATCTGCTCATTTGATAGACACAAGAAAAAGGGTTAAAATAGCATAAACATAGAATAGCACAGTCTGCCACCTTTAGGGGAAACACACGCACATGCACACACGCCAGCGACTGAATTTTTAAGGAGGGAGGCAGCTGGGATGATGAGGAAGGGTGGAGACGCGCTCCCTGGTGTTTCTGGAATCTGCAGGCGCTGCAGGGCCGCACTTAGCCTGCGACTCCTCCTGACCCAGAGGCCCCGAGTCAGTGGCTTCCGTGAAATAAGCTGTGGCTCCTGCTGTTTCCAGCTTCTGGGTTTCAGAAGCCGCTTAAGCTGATTCTTGTTATCTAGCTAGCTAGCTAGCTGATAGCCTGTTGCAGGGGTGGGGGCGGGGGTCTCCCGGAGCCTGAACTGAACAGACTCAGGGCAGAGGAGCGGCTCTGTGTGTTCAGGGAACAACCAGAAGATTCAGGTCTCAGCACTTGCTAGCTAATCTCTGAGGCCCTTGGACTCAGTCACTTGAGTCCGTGTCCGACTCTTTGTGACCCCACGGACTATAGCCCGCCAGGCTCCTTTGTCCATGGGATTATCCAGGCAAGAATACTGGAGTGGGTTGCCATTTCCTTCTCCAGTCACATTCAAAATGAAAAGTAACCAACCAAAGACTATACTTCTGAATCCTCCATATTACCTTTTCCTCAAAAAAAAAAAAAAAAAAAAAAAAATCGCAGGGGACACAGGTTTGATTCCTGGTCCAGAAAGATTCCATATGGCACTGAGCAACTAAGCCCGTGTGCCATAACTACTGAGCCCACGTGCTAGAGCCTGTGCTCTGCAACAGGAGAAGCCACCACAATGAGATATCCACACCACAGCTAGAGAGTAGCCCCTGCTTACTGCATCTAGAGGAGGCCCACATGCAGCAGTGAAGGCCCAGTGCAGCCAAAAGTAAATAAAAATAGCAGTGTGTATGTGTTATATATACATATTTATACATACACACATATGGTGGCATAGTGGTAAAGAATCTGCCTGCTGATGCAGTAGACACAAGAGATGTGAGTTCGACCCCTGGGTTGGGAAGATCCCCTGGAGGAGGAAATGGCAACCCACTCCAATGTTCTTGCCTAGAAAATCCCATGGACAGAGGAGCCTGATGGGCCAGAGTCCAGGGGTCATGAAGAGTCAGACACGACTGAACATGAGCACAACACATGTATATATCAGGAGAATTCAGATCGCTACATAGAAGCATTTGTTCTTTAAAAAGTCATCAGCCCGGCCTGGGTGGACACACAGCTGCATTCCTGTATATCCACAGCCACATGCCCAGAGCATCCTAGAATCGCTGCTTCGTCTCTTACTGGGGTTTCTAAAACCCAGGAGGAGCCTGATAGGAAAGCTTAACTGATTTCCAAAAGAGCCAATGAGTAAAGATTCTCACTGAGTCCATGAGTGTCCCACGCAGTTCACAATAAAAAGAGGCTTACAGAGGGCCCAGGACTGGTGCTCCCTGGGAGACACCTCCATTAAAGCGAGTCCGTGTGGACTTGGCCGTTAGCTAAGCTGGACACTCAGAGGATGTGCATTTTGCCTGCCTGAGCAGTTACCACGCAGGCCTTCCCAAAGCTGTGGGGTCCTGGCCACCCTAAGGTGAATTGCTTTAGAAACTGAAGGATAACGGCAGTAGCACCTCGCCAGACCCTGCAAGACAGCAGCGAGGGGAACGGGGGAGGGGAGGGTGGGGCGGAAGGAGGGCTGATGGCAGGAGGGAACACAGGTGAGTGGATTCAGAGATGTAGGTCCAGTGTTCTATCCACACTATGAGGGTAAAAACGCTCAGCAGTTCACACGTGATGAATGAAGTAGATTCTTATTTTCACAAGGAAATTGTTTCTTCAGGAGCAGCACAAGGTAGTGGTTATGGAGACAAACTGTAGCATCAGGCAGACCTGAATTCAAATGTTCACTCCATCACTTACTGGAAATAGGATCTTGGCAAGTTATGTGACTTCCTAAGGTAGTAGCACAGTTAGCATGCTGCCCTCAATAAGTCGTGTTTATTCATTAATTTTACAAGGTAAATTTTGACCAAACCATTTCACACTCAGAGGATGCCACCCATTTAGGCACTCACCCTCTCTCCTCTTTCTACATCTCCCCATACTTTAGATTCAGGGGACAATGGAGAGGAATTCTATCATAGCCAGAGGTCACAAACTGATGAGGGGCTAGTGACAAAGGGGAGATAGTGATTTCATGAGAGAGCTATAATTTTATCTACACGGAATAGTAAACGTAACCACAGTCATCAATTTAATGGGGCACCAGTTTCTAGAGCCTTCCTCCAATCTGCCACAGTGGCCCATGCATTTCTTAAGGTTCTGTGAAGCTGCGTGTGAAGCAGGAGTATCCTGAATGTGTGTTGAATGAACTGGGATGGGAGAGCGCTGGTAGTTTCTGTAATAGTCATTCCTGGAGTGTTGGTTTTCCTTCTCAATAAAGACTGGTATGAATATGAAAATCATATTCATATTGAATGAGAGGTTTTACTCATCATCAGCCCTGACTGATGTGGGGGCTGGACAGTCTTCCAAGAGTTTCTGCAGAAAAGATCTGTATCCTCAGGGTCACTCCACTGCCCCAAGACCAACCTGAACTCCACAAGTATGCAAAACAGAATTTGTAGGTGGTAAACTGAGGCCATGGACAGAGAAGCCTGGTGGGCTACAGTCCATGGGATCACAATGAGTCAGACGTGACCGAGTGACCCACACTTTACTTTTAAACTGAGGCTAACACTCCTGTACACTCTCAGTACCTCCAGCCACTTTAACCATGCCCGTTTTCCTCTCCAGGGCTTGTTGGTTGCCTTATAGGACCCTCCCATTAGGTATTAAAAGGTCTTGCATCAGCGAGCACCTACAGTAAAATGGTTAAGCTTGTCTTTTCTCAATGCAGATCCAATAGTTCAACAAGAACATCCAACATGGGCAAGTGACACCAAGCTGAAGAGGCCAACACGAGAGAGAAGAAACTTGGTCCCATCCTCACAAGTAATAATGGTGATGGAAAACACCCCCACTGAAGGAGCCAGAAAAGGAGACCCAAGCGCGCTCTCCCAGAGCGAGCCACACCCAGCCCTACCCCAGGCCTTCCAAGGAACACACAGTCCCCAAGAATTGAGTGGGTCCTTGGGGATACCACTTACAGCCAGCACCCTGAGAGGGCCGAGAAGAACCATGTTTCGGTTCAGAGAGGAAGACTTCTATTCCATTTTATCCTCAAACCCTGGAGGAGAAAATGATGACACAGAAGAGGAAACCCATGTGGAGGAAGAACTTTTGATGGCTGGCATGCACCTGCCCTGTTCTCCTTCCAGTTATAAGAGGAGTAGATTCCTTGGGACACTGGCCACTCAGGCCAAAAATAAAAATTCTGAAGAAAATCCTGCACACTGCAGAGCGAATTCTATGAGGAGGAGTGAGGCCAGCCATGGCTCCTTAAGAATTAGCAATGCAATGGAGCCAGTGACAGGGCAATCTTCTGTCAGGCAAAGGATATCTCAAAACCATGGGTTGTCTGATGGGGGATCTATTAAAAGGAAAGACAGCAGTGACAGTGAAAGTGAGAAAAAGGCCTCTTATTCATGGGACACCCAATCCGAACCCAGCCTGGAGGATGACATCAATGCTGAAAATGTATCCTGTGATGGTATCGCTATGGAAGAGAGGCCTTGGACCCATGCTTATGAAAGAGACTGGCAAGCCCATTTAAGCGAGTCTAGTAACCCTCTTGATTCTTTCCTTGCTGGTAGACCAACAGCTCCAAGATCATCAATGAATTTGTCCCATAACATGCCTGGATCAGTCACACATTTCACTCTGAGAGATGATACTCTGGCAGACCTGCCCCCACCATCTACCTTAGTTCCCAGTTCAGACTCGGAGGGAAGTTCCAGGTTTAATGGTCATCAACCACTGTCCTCCATTAGAAACAGGAATCTACTTGCTGGTGCTGAAAATTGCAGTTATTTTCCAGTAGATAGTGCACATGAACTTGATATCAGGGGAGCAGAAGATGTTACTTCAACAAGCCCGTCTCAGGAGGCTCCATTATATACAGACAATCTCTTGCCGAATCCTCAGGGTAACTTGTCCTTGATGGAGTCTTCCAGCTCCTCCCCATCAGGAATGAATGTACAAGGCCACTTGCATGTGGCGCGGTCTCTGCAAGAAAATATACCTTTTACGTCCTTTGCAGTGTCTGAGTTCCCAAACCAAAATGAGAATGGGAGCAGAATGGAGTTCCCTGGCTTTTCCAGTGCAAAGGGAACCCCTAAAATGAAGATGGATCCTGAGAAACTCAAGAAAATACAAGAAAGGTGAGGGTTTTCATAAATGTATGAATATGCATCTATATTTTTAAAATTCCATTTCTCTAATGCCATAAAGCAGTGCTTTCCTAAAAAGGTTCATGGCATTTTAAATCATAGGTAAGCCCTTCCTTGACATTTTAATGATTGCTTCTTTCAAGAAAATTGTCTATTTTGTTGCTTTTAAAATATATGTCTTTACAAAGAAACATTCCATGTTCCAGCCCAATGTCTTCTGTATTCCCAAAGTGTTTTTTTTTCCTTGCATGCTATAAGTGTAAGAAAGGCAAGTTTGCCAGATAGAACGTCTTTTGGCTGCATTGCATATCTTGCAGTAACTTACTTTCCTGACCAGGGATTGAACCCATGCCGCCTGCAGTGGAAGCACCAAGTCCTAACTACTGGACAGCCAGGGAAGTCCTGAGGATTTTTGACTGTTAGATAGGGCTTGCCTTTACCCACTCCCCCACCCCCAGCAATTAGAGATTTTTACAAAAAGGTTGCTATCTCCCCAGAGAAGGAGCCACTCAGCACTTGAAGTTCACCAGCTCTCCCCCATGGGACTCTGGGCAAATCCAACCAACAGTTCTAGAATTTGAATCTTCCAAACTACAAGGACAGTCTCAAACAGTTACCATAGTTACCTCAGTTCTCTGAAGGGCCACACTGGGGTGATCACTGCTTCCATTTTCTGTGCTGTTTCTCATGCATGAGAAAGAGAGAAATCAGATCTTTTTTGAATTGCTCTTTTCTTTGATCTCTCCTTTCTTGTGAGATGATTCGGGGATATTCCACAACTATGAAATGTGATACTTTTTAAAGCCATCATTAAGCATCATGTCAGGATTTGACCATTTCACTCCTCCTAGGGGTTACCATGCCCTGATGTTGGCTTACCGATCTAGAAAGTGGTTCTTTGAAGGCAAGCTCTCTTTCTTGTGTGTTAGTATGGCTCACTGAGCCATTAACTTATTAATATTCATTTGCAAGTGAGAAAATTCCATGGCAGTGAATTTGAATGCAAAAAGGAGGAAAAGATAAGACTTAAGATTTAGAATGCACACACACTCCTATAGCTATTCTCCAACTGCAGGGATGAAGTTAACTTCCTTGTTAGTGGCATTTTTTTTTTTTCACATCAAACTACCAAAAGACTGACCCAGGGTTAAGGGCCAAAAGGTCTCAGCACCAATCCATCCTCATCTACCTCAAAACACAGTTTTAAACCCACTTGTCAGGGGTCTGGACTTTTATCATCCCAAAGCAATGCCTTTGGGTGAAAAATGACTTCTGTTAAAAATGCATCTATATGTAGGTATAGTAATACATTAAACAGCTATTATTTGTGTACTGTGTTTATCAGACACTCTCTTTTTCTGTATGTAATAAACCTTATGCCGTTCTAATTATTTGAAAAACATTCATTTTGGAAAATATCAAAAATACAAACTTAAAAGAAAAATCACCAATAACCCTATAATCCAGAGAAAAGCACTGTGAAAAACTTTGTTTCCAGTCTTTGGTCTTTGCATATAAATGCAGTTTTTAGTAAACATGGTCATATTTTATAATATGACTTATTTTAAGATTTCAAGCCCATTTCTCAATGCCACTTACACTCTTTAAACTTTTCCCTTGATTAGTTAGATACATACAAATAAGTATATAACATTTGCACATATCTAGAGAATTAGAACAAAACCTAGGCATTTGTATGACCACCCTCCAGCAGACAGAAGCTCACTGGAGCTTGTGAGCCCCTCACCCACCCTATCTCCTCATGTCCTCCCTTCATCTCCTCTTAACACCCCGTGTGTGTGTGTGTGTGTGTGTGTGTGTGTGTGTGTGAGGTGCTCTGTGAGGTGCTCAGTCATATATGACTCTTTGCCCCAGAAACCATTCTTGCATTGAATTTATAATTCCTTTGCTTTTTATCTTGCTGCTGTTAGAATCTTTTTGCCTTATGGCTTCACCACATGAGTATATCCATGCCTAAACAACACACTGTGTATATTTTTGAATTCTGTAGAAATGTTACTATTATTTTTGAACTCCATAGAAATGGAATAGCTGTCCTTCTGTGACTTGCTTTTCCCACTTATATCATTAGGCAGATGCATCCTGGTTAATATTTTCGGGCTTTGATGCATTAGCTTTCACCACTACAGACCACTTCGTCACAAGAACATACCACAAGTCGATGGACGTTTGCGTCTTCTACTGTTTTCTGTACACGGTGCTGCATGATCATTCTTGTAAATGTCGTCTGTCCTCCGGGATATTTATGTAAGAGTGGACTTGTGGGCTGGTGGGTAGCACAGCTTCCACTGTGCAAGTTAACACACCGTCTCAATGATGTGTCCAATGATGTGTACTGTCTCAACGATAGTTACACTTAGCACAGTGCGTGCTGAGTCGCTTCAGCTGTGTCTGACTCTTTGCAACTTCATGGACTGAAGCCTGCCAGGCTCCTCTGTCGATGGGATTCTTCAGACAGTAATACTGGAGTGGCTTGCCATTTCTTCCTTCAGGGGATCTTCCCGGCCAGGGATTGAAAACTGTGCCCCCTGCAAGATGAGTGAACTACTGGACCACCAGGGAAGTGCCTCTTGACTCTCTTAAATGTTAAACAGCCATCTGTCTTTCTTCTTTTGTAAAATGCTTACCTATGTCTTCTGCCCATTTTTCTTTTAGAATATTTTTATGTTAAGAATCCTTCATATATATACATACATACATACATATATACATACATATATATATATATATAAAGAACCCTTTATATATTCTGGCAACTAATCTGATATATATATATATACATACATATCATATATATATGTATATATATATGTAAAGAACCCTTTATATATTCTGGCAACTAATCTGATCCTTTGACAATTATATTTTGGACATATCTTTTCTCAATTTGTATTGACAGTTTGTATCTCCTCTTTCTTGATGTTTTCTTAATGAAAATAAATTCTTAATTTTAACGTAGTCAGTTGTATCCATCTTCTGTATGGACTATGATTTGTATCTTGCTGTCTTAATTAAGAAATCCTTCGTAACCTGGGGTCATTGCAACATTCTTCCTACTCTCTTCCAAAATCTCTACAGTTTTGCTTTGCACACTTAGGACTTAATGTGAAATTAATTTTGGACTTAAGTGTGACATTTAATGTGTGGTGTGAGGTATGCATTGTGAATACCCAGGATCTTCCCCCTGCAGAGCCCCATCTGTCATATAACATAAGTGTGTAAGTTTGTCTCAGTGCTCTCTCTTCTGTCCTATTGGCCTTTTTGTTCTTCGCTAAAGAACATCATCTCAATGACTGCAGCTTTATAAATTTATCAGAGCAAAGCCTCCCTCTCCATTTTGTTCCATAAGAATCTTTCACTATACAAACACTTAGCATCAGTTTGTTGGGATTTTCATTGGAATTGCATTGAATCTATAGATTATCTGCGGGAGTCTTTTTTTGATAAACATGGCATACTTCTTCTCTTGTTGGTGACTATCATGAGAAAGTGTAATTCTGTTCCTTTTCATTGAACTTCCCTTTCTTGGGGAGAAAATTCTCTTAAGAAACAGCATACTCTCCTATATCCAAAGCAATGGCTATTTCTTCCCCTCTGTTGATTTTAGTCTCCAGCCAACTTTCCTTTCCTTGACCGGACAGTCCCCAGGCCCACGAAGATTCTAAAGAACAAAAAAATAGCCTTAGGCTTCTCAAAAGCCTCCCTACAGAAATATCCACCAGCTATTCCTGACTTACTGTTTATGAAATACAAATATGTTTGCTTACACTTTCATTAATTCCATCTTCATCACATACCAGCAGCTTATATTCTGGAATGTCGGCATAATTCACTGGCAAGGGTACTGGTGAGCTCAGGTCCAAGTTCACTGGTTCATCATTCATCCCAACCAGCATCTACTGAGTGGTCTGCACCTGCCGATGCTCGACAGGCTCCAGATGCACTTTATCACCGTCCCCTGCACCCAGGATGCCCTACCACCCTTGTAAGTAGGTAGCAGTTGTCAGACTATCCTCATGGCTTTCCACTTGAGGAAACAGACCTGGGAAGCTTAAGCAGCATGTCAAACTCAAGGAAGCCTCAACCCCAGGNCACCCTTGTAAGTAGGTAGCAGTTGTCAGACTATCCTCATGGCTTTCCACTTGAGGAAACAGACCTGGGAAGCTTAAGCAGCATGTCAAACTCAAGGAAGCCTCAACCCCAGGCCTGCTGACCACAATCCCCCCACGCTCACCTCCCCGCCACACTCACTAACACACCACACCAGCGAAATCCCACAGTGGCCGAGGTGTGGAGAGGGGCTCCTAGCCTCCGGCTCAGTTTCCCTCTGGAGTCCTTTCCCAATCTCTAGCTGTGTGATAGGAGTGCTGGGTTCACCTGGTGAGCTGCACCCATCGGTAACTGCAAAGAAGCCTGCCAAGAATCCACGCGCTTATTATCGGTAACCATGCTGCAGGGTCGGAGGGAGCAGTGGGTGAGCCCCAGGAAGGCACAGCGGTGGAGAACGTGCTCCCTCAACCTGGCTCCGTCTGCCTCCCCCCCCCCCCCCCCCCCGGTCCCAAGGATGATCTGGGAACTAGTATTTGTGGGCACTAGTATTTGTGGAAACTAGTATTTGTGGAAACTGCCGACGTGCAGACTCCTGGTGACGAGACCTTGTTTTCCTTTTAGTCTCCTGGAGGAGGATTCCGAGGAGGAGGGAGACTTGTGTCGCATCTGTCAGATAGCCGGGGGTTCCCTCACCAACCCTCTCCTGGAGCCATGCGGCTGTGTGGGAAGCCTGCAGTTTGTTCATCAGGAGTGCCTGAAAAAATGGCTGAAAGTGAAAATAACATCAGGTAGGTGGGGAAGGCGGAAGGACACACGTGCCGCAATATGTAATTAACACGAGGCACCGCCTTGTGGGACCCGCGAGCCCCGACAACAGGGAAAGGGGGGGGGGGGCACCGTCCCAGGGCTCTTGCTGGCAGGCTCATGACAGACAGGATCAGGACTAAACAGTGCTTTCAAATTATGGGAGGGAAATGAGTTGGTTTTGGTTTTAGGTTTTGTTTTGTTTTTCCCAAGGCTCCGGGATGAATCCTGGAATGTGCTCTTAAATTTTACTCCTGCCTGAGGCCTGAGCAGAGATGCTAAGATTATCTCATAGGAAGGAGGGAACTACAAATGGGCCCATGGTTGGACCTCAGCAAGCACCCAGCAGTCAGGACAGCTGGGGTACCCTCAGCAAGACCTCCTTCCTTTCACTTGTGAGAGAGGGTAGGAGGTGTGGAGAGGTTTGACACCCAGAAACTGAGCCAAGATGCGTTTCTGGAACAGGGGAAGGAAAAGCGTACCAATCTAATTTTTCTAGCCCCACATTAGATAAAGACATTCCCACTGTGCTCATTTCGGTAGCTCTGTCTTTATAGAGCTTGTAACTGGGTGTGAAGTCCCCATTCTCAACCCCTGGGGAGGTTATAACCTAAATATAGCCACGTCAGTAGGTCAGCTGTAGTTTTCTTGGCAGAGAACAAGAGGTTTCTTTAAAATATTTATGAACAAGAGCAACTTGAACAAAAAAAAAAAAAAAAAAAGGACGCCAAAGCAAAGAAGCATTTACTTTAAAAAGACCTGCTATGTCTTTCAAAGTCCCCATCTCTGCAAACGTTTTACCCCAGAGCCAGAAGCTGTTTCTCTCCTCCATGCTCTCCTCCTTGGTTGTCATTGTGCTAGACGACCCAGGAGACCTAGAACTTGACCCTGTCCCCATGGGTTGTGGCCAGGCCCCCTCACCAAGCACAGCACACCATTTAATCAGGAATGAACACTCGGCATGAACCGGTTAACTCTTCTCTCCCCGAGGCCCTTTCTCCACATCTGCAGAATAGTAGTGACTGCAGCCCAAGTTACTTAAATGCATCTTTGCACAGGGAGCAGAAAACCTAGCCCTTCAGAGAGCAAAGAACAAGTGGATCTCAGCAGCTAATGACCCTGCCGTGCGATGCTTTATCTTACTAGGAATTTGGGCCAATTAAACATCTAGTACAGAAAAAATTACTCATGAGATGTTTTGATGAAAGTGCTGCTAAATGCTTGTAAATACCAATTCTGGCCTGGGTGTGCTAGGCAGGATTAGACTGGAGGACACATGGGACGATCCGTAGCCTTAAGTATTACAGAATGCTGCTTAAAAAAAAAAAAAATCAAGTCAACAAAATGCAGATGAGGGATCAGTGTTCATCCCTGTCTTTTGAAATTCTCTATTATTTACTACCTCTTTGTATCCCCACTGGGGAAAAGTAGAACTGGGTTATAAAACTGTACAAACCCCATCTTTACCAAATAAATTCAAGTAACTGATTAGTCTTCTGTATTCTTTTTTTTTTTTTTTTGACCGTGCCTGGTGGCCTGTGGGACCTTAGTTCCCCAACCAGGGATCAAACCTGGGCCCTCTGCATTGGAAGCATAGAATCCTAACCACTGGACCACCAGGGAATTCCCAGTTCTCTGTTTTCTAAAGCATTAAACAAACACTGGTACATCATTAACCAAAATGCACCATCATTAACCAAAATGCACACCAGGGGGGAAAGGACATATGGCATCACGTTTGCTAAGACATAACAACCGTACATCTGCATCTTCCACTTTGCACTAAGGTATAGGATAAAGGGGGGAAGGTGTGCTAATCTAGAATTCACATTAAAAAACAAAACTAAACAGGAGGACTTCCCTGGTGGTCCAGTGGATAATACTGTACTCCCAATGCAAGGGGGCCCAGGTTCAATCCCTGGTCAGGGAACTAGACCCCATGTGCCACAACTAAGTTCTCATGCCACAACTAAAGGTCCCACGTGCCACAACTAAGACCTGGCATAAATAAATAAATAAATTTAATAAATAAATAAATAAATATATTAAATATATCAAATAAATAAATATATTAAAAAAACAAACCAAACAAAAAACCAACAGCAACAAACCAGGAACAAAGGGAACCTCCTCCTGTTTCTTTTCCCAAATGAGGCTGAGCTCAGGCTCAAGTGTTTGCCCCAGATATTGCTATACCACAGCCCACACATGGGCCTGGGGTCCCTCACTTTTCTTAATTGGGGAGTTACATGGGCAGAAGTAAAGGCAGATTTTTAAGCCATAGATCGAGGATACCTTCTGCCATCAATTTGGTCCTTACTAATTTATTTGCTTGGACTTGTGTTAGATTTACCAGGAAAAACATCAATAACATAGACCCAGTGTTCACTCTTCTGGCTAACACTTGTGTTACAGACTCTCAGCCTTCATGTAGTAATTCCAATTTTATGAACCAATGTGTTTATATTTAAACAGAGAGCAAGACCTGTTATTTAAAAGTCACGGGAATTTCACTCATGGGAAGCTTGCATAATAGTGAAAACAATGACAAAGAAAATTTCAGATCTCAGGTTCAAGGTCATTTTCTACAGAAGATGACCCACTTTAAAAAGGTCACCGAAACTCAGAATTCCTAACACATACAAATTCACTCTCAAAATGTCAACACCAAGAGGGTTACGTGTAACAAGATTCTTTCATTTTAAGGAGCAGATCTTGGCGCTGTAAAGACCTGTGAGATGTGTAAGCAAAGCCTACTGGTCAACCTGGATGATTTCAATGTGACTGAGTTCTACCAGAAGCACCAGCAGTCCCGGGTAAGAGAACCTCCTACATGCCAGGTCCACAGGCTAGAGCTGGGTGGAGGAATAAGGCAGGAAGGAACTCTCTCTGATACAAGGACTAGTAGTGAGGTGGGGTGCGGAGGTCCTGTGCAAGGCTCCTAATTCAGCTCACTTCTCTGAGAAAGTCTGTTCCCAAATTGGACCACTGGAGGATTAGAAGACAGTCCCACTGCTGAGGTCCCACTACTGTCAGGGACAAAGTAGGAAGCTGCAGTAGCTGACCAGACACACAGAAATAGGAAAAGTCTGGCAAGCTCTACACCCAAATTTGCTGAAACAATTGAAGTTGAATAGCCACAAGAGAAAAAAAATGAGGGTCTTGGAGAAATAGTCCCCAATTTATATATCAAGTAATCTTGGGGGGTAATGAGGAACTGCTTTGCTCAGGGTTTAAAAACAGGTAAGCACCTACTTTGTCCTTTTTTTTTTTTAGCTGCACCCTGTGTCCTGGGCAGTGAAAGCAATTAGTTCTAAGCACTGGACCACCAGGGAATTTCCCTACTGTTTAATTTAAAAAACAACAACAACAAAAAAACACCTCTTGAATTAACTCTCCTGGGGCATTGGATTGCAATTCTAATACTGTGAAAGAGTTAACTTTAGGTGGGAAGGTGATTTATGCCTGGAATAATAGTTCATTGCCCAAGTCTCAGGCAAATGGTTTTCTGTTTAGAGCTATGCTGCTCAACATGGAAGCCACAAGTCACGGCTAGCTCACAAACAAGTGGTTATTTCTGGTCCAGCTGTGCTGTGTTACACACCAAATTTCAAAGGCTCAGTCCAAAACTAAGAGTAAATTATCACATAAATAATTTTACGTTATAGTTTAAAAAAAGTAAAGTTAGTCACTCATTTGTGTCTCACTCTTTGCAACACAATAGACTGTAGCCCGCGAACCTCCTCTGTCTGTGGGATTCTCCAGGCAAGAACGCTGGAATAGGTTGCCATTCCCTTCCCCAGGGGATCTTTCCAACCCAGGTCTCCTGAATTGCAGGCAGATTCTTTACCATCTGAGCCACCGGGAAAGCCCATATTATAGTTGAAATTATATTTAAAATGTATCATATCAAATAAAATTTTTAATAATTTCACCAGTTTCTTTCTATACTTCTTTATTGTGGCTCCTAGAAATTTTCAGGTTACATGTTGTTTGCATTGGTGGCTCACATTTTATTTCTATTGGGTAGTGCTGATCTGGACGATGCCTAGCAAATAAGCAGTCAATAGATATTTATCTCAAATGAAAATAGCCCATCGTTACCATTATAATTCAAGACTGACCTCCCTCATCATGCAATTAGGAAAAAAAAATGATTAATAACCACCACTGTAAAGGACATAATTTAAAAACCATAAAATCATTGTTAGCAACTGAAATGTCACTCTTCAGAGGAGTCTCTCTGGCTTTCAGATCATTGGCCTGTCAATGTGTGCATGCCCAGTCGCTTCAGTTGTGTCTGATTCCCTCAGACCCTATGGACCATAGCCCACCAGACTCCTCTGTCCACAGGATTCTCCAGGCAGGAATACTGGAGTGGGTTGCCATGCCCTCCTCCAGATCTTCCCGACCCAGGAATTGAACATGATAACCCGCGTCTCCTGGACTGCAGGTAGATTCTTTACCGCTGAGCCAGCGGGGAAGCCCTAGCCTATATTCAGACCTTTTTTGTGCAAAAGCACAACAGTCAAATTGGTCCCCCTGAGTTTGGGCAGTCCTATAGTCACCTTTTTAAATCCTGGGTTATGGCTCCAGGAGAGTCACCACCAGCCTGTGGGTAGGGGAAAGCTTCCATGGCCACCCCACTGCCCCACAGAGAGGGAACCGGGGGATAACTACCCCAGCCTCTCTCCTCCTGCCCTCTGGTCTCCTCCCAGGGCCTCCCATTGGCTGAACACAATGGGGAGCCAGAGGACAAGGGGGCCAAGTAAACGCAATCCACAGAGATCAGCCTCTTGGCCACAGAGCAGGGTAGAAAATGGAGCTGGAGGGGAAGATGGAAAATATCCAGCACACTAATTACATGACATGGAAGCAGAAAAGAGTTTAAATTAGTTTCGAGGAGAACTTGACAGGCCATCAAAGCCTTTTAAAAATGCCCTTCATTATAATCACAGGGAG